AACAATGTAAGTCAGGGTCTTATAATAGTGTTATTACATACATTGAACTACTGCTGCACCTCTCGTGTTACACTTGACCGATATTCGGCTTTAAAGAAGCCCGCATGCAAAACCAGCTATTGACATATATATTGAACGCCATCCTCAGACATGGAGGATTCATCTTTGCCATGTACATACTATTATCCTCTCTATTTCGACAGTAACCACCATCCCTATCACATACACATTCTTTCACCTCAACACTTGTCGCCAACTGCGGGAGGACTGATCAATTCCATACTATAACGGAATTTTCAACCCTCCTTTATCTTTCTACATACGCTCATCATTTACTAAATTGCACGGAGGAGGAAAAAGATAGACCACACACTTGCCAAATAGCTTTAACTTTAACTATCGTGCTGATTTCTCACGATAGTAAGGGCAGGCCCTATATAATATATAATATATAATATATTATAACATAATTGTTGTACTATATACATCATATTTCCCAAAACACACATTCTTTAGCTATTTATACCAATGGATGCATATTCTTATCCCCCAACTCACCCACCGCCAACACAACCGGAAATGTCTCACATTCGCCAATCTAACAATTTTCCAGAAATGTATCCCACAGAACACACTGACAACGATAATAGTGATGCATATAGTGGTGTCGTTGCTACCAATCCATACAACAACGACAACGCCCGCTTTTCCACCAGTACGTCCTCCCTTGATAGCAACGATCGATTATACCCATTCCCGGACACGCCAAGTGCAAGCACTAATGCCCTCAACACGCAACCCCCAGGCTCAAAACCCGGCGACGACTCTGACGAACAACTGGCTGACCTTAACACCGACGGCAAACAACCCCGCTCCTTCTTTCGCAACCGTCGTAAAGCATGTTGCTTCATCTGTTGTGGTGTTGTAGTAATCATTGCGGCCATCCTAATTCCGCTAGCCATATATGTAATAGCGCCAGCTATAGCCCAAGGCGCCGTCACCGGAAGCAAACTTCAATTCTCGTCCGCAAAATTAAGCAATCTCACGGAAGATTCATTCGTCATGACCGTTTCCGGAAAAGTCACCGATACTGGTCCGATGGCTGCTACGATTGACGTTCCCGATGGCGTAGTGGTCACGTGGGAGGGTATGACATTAGGCCGATTACCTTTGGACAGGATCTCGGCGGCACCGTTTGCTGGGGCAAACATCGAAAGCAGTCAGGTGTTTGCGGTTACCAACAAGACGGCCTTTGAACAATTTAACAAGTTTATGTTGACACAACAAGATTTCACATGGCATCTGGAAGGATCTGCTAATGTCAAGGCTGCAGGATTGAGTTTGTCAGGAATTCAGCTTAGCAAGGATGTTACGATGAAAGGTAAAGTATCGATGCGAGGCAGTTCGAATGATTTATGAGAGATACATGTGTGTGCAGCGAGTGGATGCGTTAATGAGTTTTTTAAATTTATATCCGATTTTTTATCTCGTACTCTTAGGAATGGATAATTTCCCATCAGTCACAATAAAGTCCTTCAACGCGCCATCTGACCATCCATCAGGCGGCATAGCAATCGTTATAGACTCCAACCTTGTAAATGTCTCCCCCGTAGGCGTTGAACTGGGTGATCTGTTCTTTGATGTTCTCTACCTGAACCAGACCATAGGCGAAGTGTCAGCCACAAACATAACACTCGTCACTGGAGACAATCCTCTTAAACTCAGTGGTCGGTTGATCCCTCAAAACACAACTGCCGGACTTGCCGCGGTCAGCGACATGTTTTCCAAGTACATTGCAGGAGATAATGCTACAACGACCGTCGTTGCAAAGTTGGTCAAACCGTCAGATGGTGGAGACCCTATTTCTTGGTTGCAGAACGCATTCCAGGGGACCAGGATGGATGTTGTATTGGAAGGAGGAAAGAATCTGACTATAATCAGTGGAGTTACGTTGAATACTATGGATTTGGTATTTGCAGCGGATAGTGCATACTCTCCGACGGCATCCTCAAGTTCATTGGGAGCCTCGTTTTCGATTCCGTTTGGCTTTCCGTTAAAGATGAAGCAAATATCCCAGAATATTACTATATTTGGGGGAGGCAAAGCCCTTGCCGATTTAAACACGCCATATGCAGCAGCACAAGGTGATTCCACCTCTGGCCAATTAACTTCTAGTATCGCTCCTGTCCCGCTCGTTGTCGTCCCTGGTTCAGAGGGAGCATTCAATGATTTCAGCCAACACCTTACCACGGATTCATCTGTCGCGATGCTTATGAAAGGTACCGCATCTTCTATTGCTGGTACCTCTATTGGAGATGTAGAAATAAAAGGGATCAAACTCAGTGTTCAGAGTTCTCTTACCGGATTACAAGGATTGCAGACAAAACCAGTTGTTATTAATTCATTGAGCGTAACTGGAGGAACAACTGATCACATGATTATTCAATTATCGGTAACAATGTTTAGTCCGTCGAATGTCAAGATTACAATGGGCGATATCTCGTTCGACTTGTTCTTCCAGGGTAAGCTGATCGGGCAGGTATTAATGAACAATTTTACACTCGACCGAGGTGTCAACACTCGTCAAACCATCACCAACTTTGCTCCCCAAGGAGCAGATGCAATTGCTGCTGGGCGAACCTTGTTGGATAACTTTATACTCGGAAAGACCAACACAGTAGCCATACAAGGATCAACAAAGTCTACTTCTATCGCTTCTTTACAACAAGCATTGGCAACATTAAAGTTATCTGCTGAATTACCTGGATTGCAGACTGACAAACCAATCATAGTGAAAGCACGGTTTGCCATCAGTCTTGGAACGTTATTCAGCCAGAAAGGAACGGCATCGATTGATGCGTTTAACCCGTTGGATACCGCTATGAAGTTTCTTCACATTAAAGCTTCTATCACGTTCAAGGGGACTGTAATAGGCACCATGGATCAAGATTTGACGGGTGATCCTGTTGTGATTCCAGCCAAGCAGGTGGTAACTACACAAGATTTTGTGCTGAATTTGAATATCGGGCCTGCCGCTATCGACAGCTTGTTTAAGAGTATAGCAGGAGATTTGGTTACTGACATAACGTCAGAGATAACCGTTGCAATTGGCGATTATCAGACTACTCTTGACTATGCTCAAAATAATGTGCCAACTGGACTCGGGAAATAGTCATTGGGGTGGGCGCGAAACCAAATAATGGCTACTCTTAGTAGAGAGTTCTTTCTGTAGCGGCAGTCAAATGACCAAAGCTAAAACAGCCGTCCCTAGCAGCACGATCGGGGTGGTTGTAGTCGTTATAATACAACAGTGTCCACCAAACAAGCAGCCTTGTTCGCTTGTTCAAGTATCAAGGCTATTCTTACCTCCAAATTGCTTATAAACTCCATCTCGTGTCACTAATTCCCTACTAGAACATTTATAATATTAACATTTAATCTGTAATCATTCTGGTGACATCTGGATGGATGATAGAGTGTTGAGGATACATGGATGTATCATTCATGTCTATGAATGTGTGTGTACTGTTTAACTTATACAATAAAAGTAATAATTGGCTACTATATATGATTTGCGAAAAGAACACTAGAAAGGTATTGAGCAACCCGCCGAGCGACACGATTCCTTGTAAGATTCTACATAGAATAAATTGTAAATAAAAGCATATTTAGAACACCAACTATTGTGTGATGTAACATTTTGACAAGGCGGCTTAAAATGAAAGTTAGTCAATACTGTAAGGTATCTACTCTCACTTTAGAAATAGTAAACACCCCCCAAAGGCTCATCCAATTTCTTTGGTATAGCTACTGGCGCAAGTGTCGGAGAGAGGATCTAAACTATATGGGAAGTGGTGCAAAAATAATGCATTGAACACGCTTGTTTTAACTAAAGTGAGGCAGATGGATTTGATTTAACGTATTTTATTCTGTAGGCCTGTTTATGATTTGGTGTCCATGACTTCAGTATTTTCCTCTATATACATCACAAAAATCGATTAGTAGTAGGCGTTTCGACTGTTTTTTACAATGATCCTTAGTCACCATATTAGATATGTTGATAATTATTAATTAATTCATTAGAACGAGTCTAGATAATAAATCATCGTTACACTTCGTGAAACGTCTGATACATCAGTTGTTCTTGGTCATTCGCATCGCGTTATAATTGCTGTTCTTTTTTTTTTCGCTTTCTGCATTAGCAAAATTTGGACGATAGAACGAGTTTTGCCGCAAATCGTACGAAACAACCCCTGTATAATAGAAGGAGACGATATAACAGTCTGAGAAAGACAACAACGCTTTTGATTCATTAGTATGACGCGTCCGTTGTTCATACATATAAAATAACGAATATAATTCTAGTTCTAAGAATGAATAGTTTACATGCTCTAAATCTCATTTTGAAGATAACAAAACAATTAAATTTACAGATACGACTATACGTTCTTTATATTTTCAATCTTCGTTATAATCTCTAACATTAATATATTTGCTGAATAACGTTGTTTGACCTAGCACCTTGTTCTTCCTGCTCTTAAAAAGAAATTATTTTATTAAACGTCTCTTACGTATTCCCCAAAACCAATCCTATACTCCCATTAAACACTAGTACATCTATATAATAGTCATGGGAAATGTCCCCTCGAATTTTCACTCGATATAATGAAGTTAGTAGATATTAATATAGTGACTTTTACCAAACACGTTTTAGATTAAAGTGAGACAGTATAAAGCTGATAAGGAAGAAACAGAAACGCTATAATAATAAAAAGAAAGAAAAGGAAGCAAATTCAGTGAAAAGTCTTGTCCGGAGAATCCTCGCCACAAATCCGGTGGTGGCACCAATGATCTGCGCCTAAAATCATAACTCTAAACTGAACTTATCTCTATCAATCTGCTTCCGCTCTGGCGAAAGCAAAGATACACCAAGATCCTACTAAATCTTAATAATATAATCACGGATACCCGTTCCTATAAACACATATTTTGTAATAGTAATGGCGTTGAAGCACTCGTGGCCATGGCCGATCCTCAGAGGCGGCTTATTGTTACAATTGTTCGTTGCTGTCATATTATTCGTGTCTTTATCGCATGTTAAAGCGGACATCAAAGTATCAGAGACATACTTTGATAATATGCCATTAAGGTTTTTCTATTTTGAAGATTCTTCGGTGAGTTTGAAATAAAACGTCATACGAAGAGCGATAAAAACTGATCACTCGTGTATACAAAGTATTGGCGGATCACCTTAGAATGAGTTGATTTATTCGCCATGTTCTCGTCAGATTACGTTGTTTTCCTTGTTCGATTCTGGAGACTGCTAACGTTTAAACAATATTCATTAAAGGTTGTTATGTATCTTAATGACGAAGGCACAGTATTACGCTCGGAGGATGAAGGTGCCAGTTGGAATATAGTTAATGACGTACCTGAGGGTGTTGCTTCGACTTTGATCCAACATCCATTCGCGAAAAACAACGTAACTATTTCAAAAACCCGATCATTCTATGTCAATAGTTACCGTTCGCGCTTTGTCGTAGTACTAATACCTCGGGTCATTCTTTAGGCATATGTCATAACGGGAAGTAAAACGCACTACAAAACAACTGATAGCGGGAAATCATGGAAGCCGTTCGACACGCCTGTGGAACCATCTAAGAGGAATACTGTTCTATCGTTCCACGCTCAAAGGGATGAATACATATTATTTAGAGGAACGAAATGTGTTGGAGGTGATTGTGATGATGAGGTAAATTGTCTTCACTATGCATGGATCATTTGTCTCATAAATTCAGCATCTATCTTAGTTTTGTAACAATACTGTTTACTCATTATTTTTCTTTTTTTTAAGACATATTATTCAATAGATAACTTGATCTCGTTGCATTTCCTTCTCGCCCATACTGATAAGTGCATTTGGGTAATGGCAACCAGAGATTCTGATGAGGCACCGCCAAAAACCATCCTCTGCATAGAATATCAACAGCCTATTGGCAGGCTTCGTGAATTTTCTGATTACCATTTAGTACGCTTTAAAGACGAATCTTCCCCTAAAGAACGTGTAAACTTTGGACAATTGAATGAAGTTAACGGTGTCCTTGGACTAGGAGTTGTAAAGAAATATGTAATTGCAGCGGTGAAAAACCCTGGCTCATCAAAGATGACTATGTTCATAAGTGAGGACGGTATGGATTGGGATAAGGCACTGTTTCCACATACTGTTGGATTTGAGGAAAATGCGTACACTATACAGGAATCTTCAACGTATCAGTTGGTAGTAGATGTACTTTCAGCAACATCATTAGATAGCTATTCCTCCATGGGCACCCTGTTTAGGTCGAATTCTCACGGTAATAGATTCATGTACTCGTTAAACCATACTAATAGAAACATGGAAGGGCTGGTCGATTATGAAAAAGTACAAGGAGTAGAGGGAATTGTACTAGCAAATATTGTTGCGAATTGGGAGAAAGTTGCAGCTGGTGGTGTAATTGCTAAACAACTTCAAACCAAAATCTCATTCGACGACGGTGCAAATTGGCGATATATTCCTCCTCCGAAGGATAAGTCATTTTCTTGCAATACGGATACTGCAACGGGAAAATGCGCACTACATCTCCATTCTGTTACTAGTCCGCATAATTTTGGACGCGTCTTCTCATCACCTGGCGCACCCGGAGTATTATTGGGAGTCGGTAGTGTTGGTTCTTTTTTGCTACCTTACGAAGATTGTGATACATTTTTATCATACGACGGTGGGTTGAATTGGCAGTTTGCAGCGGAAGGGGCCCATAAATATGAAATAGGAGATATGGGTTCACTACTTGTGCTCGTTGACGATGAGAATCCAACTTCAGAGATTAAATATAGCAGCGACCATGGAAAGACTTGGTTAGTTTTCCGTGTTCTGGCAAAGCCTTTGCTATATTAATAACTATATCTAACATTTGCTTGAATTTTACAATAGGCAAAGCCGTAGCATTAACCAGAAAGTTCGAGTGAGGATGCTTACAACCGATCCAGAATCAACTTCTGCCAAATTCTTGCTCTTCGGGTCTGTCGTTGATCGAACCAGTAAACGCCCATACGTTATGATCCAGTTTGATTTTTCTGATTTATATCGAAAGTGTGACGAGAATGACTTTGAAGAGTGGTATGCGAGGAATAATGTTGACGGGAACGGACCTGATTGTCTAATGGGTAGAAAGGTAATGTTATTAGCATTTTCACGTGATTTAATAGCAATGATATTTACCAAGTCAATTCATCGTTTAGACGCACTACAAGCGACGTAAAGCCGATGCACAGTGTCTCGTCGAACAGCCATTTAAGGATCCTCCACGTGAGGACGTCACCTGCGCGTGTACCGACGAAGATTATGAGTGTGATTTTAATCATGTGCTTGATTCCAATAACAGATGCATTCTTGTTGGGCCACCGGACATCCCAAAGGGTCAATGTAAGGGGGCTGACAAGACTTATCAGGCCTCTCCAGGATGGGCTAAAATTCCCGGAGATGTCTGCGATGGCGGTATAACCAAAGACAGTCCTATTGTAAAACCGTGTCCTGGTTGGTGACCTTTGAAGCATCTGGATTGCTCGAGAAATTTTTAGTTATTTACACATCGTTGCATTTATGTCTTTTAACAGACCCTGGTGAAAGCCCAATCGGAGAGGAGAAGATCGTCACGACTAAAATCGATCGAATTTTTGACAAGTTCTTTTACTTCAAATCGTCTACAGTAAGTGGTTAAGATTGCGTTCTTGATTGTTGGTTTTTTAGAGTTACGCTCACCCGTGTTTATAGGTTATCATGGCCAGAACTTATGATGGCGAAGTACTGCGAAGCGAAGACGACGGCTCTACTTGGGAACGTGTGACTAAACTCGATAAGATATCCTACATGTTTATGGATAACCACGACGATGACATAGTCAGTTATCAATAAGTTTATGCGTTAAACCACTATACCTTATCGTATCCCACCTGGTAACTAACGATTTACCTTTTCATGTTTAGGCTTATTTCTTCCCTGTCGCACCGGACAGCGACATAGTCTATTACACTAACGATCAGGGTAAAACGATAAAGGAAGTTAAACTTCCCGGTAAACCAAATAAAATCGGCATTGAACTGTTGAATTTCCATCCTTCTGAAGACGATTGGCTATTGTTCATAGCCGAAAATACCGATCCCGTATACCATACAGTCGCTTATCTAACCAAAGATAATGGTGGACATTGGGAGGAGATTGAGACTTGGGTTGAGAAATGTATATTTGGCAGTTCTGAAGATAATACGATCGACAAGGAAGTGATATTTTGCTCATCTTACGCCAATAAAAAGTCACAGATTAGACAAGATCTCTTAGGTGGACGCTCGTCTGCTGGAAATGTGTTGCAGTTAGTTAGCGTAAAAGGAAAAAAGATTGAACCACTGTTGAATGACGTAATAGAGTTCTTTATGTTTAGTGAATTTCTGGCTGTTGCAGTGGTGAGTATTCACAATATATATGGTAATAAAACATCAAAGAAACGAATCTCGGATTCAAAATATGTTATCATGATAACACAATACAGAATAATAATATTTTTTTTTACGTTTTTTTTTTTTAGGAAGCAAACGACGAATTGATTCTTTATATATCCAAGAATGGTGTAGACTTCAAACCGGCTGCTTTCCCGCCTGAAATTCATGTCAAGAAAGAGGCGTACACGATCCTTCAATCGACTACGGGCGCAGTATTTCTAGATGCTTTTCGATCCACTAAATTCGGATCAGAATATGGCGTTCTATTTAAATCCGATGGAGATGGCACATCCTATTCTCTCAGCATGAATTTCACTAATCGTAATAGCTACGGAATTGTAGATTATGAAAAAGTGCAAGGAAAAGGATTGGAGGGTATTATTTTGGTCAATCAAGTTAGTAACCCGGATGAATTAATTGGTGATGTTAAAAAGAAGATTATTACGAAAATCAGTCGTGATGACGGTGAGCATAGTTTTTTTATTATGGTTTGACAATTATATTGTTGTGTTTATTATATTTACTAATTTCTCATAGGTGCAACTTGGGAGCGCATTCCTGGTCCCAGATCCTCGTGTTCAAACGTAAGCAAACAGTTATGATTATTGACTTAGTCGTATCAACTGGTTCGAATTAAAACCCATTTACCATTATTATTTATTAGGATTGTTACTTAAACTTACACAGCCGTACCGAAATCTCTGGCCCTGGCGCAATCTTCAGTGCTTCATCTGCTGTAGGTCTTTTAATGGGTGTCGGCAATGTCGGACCATATCTACTTCCATACACCGAAAGTGAAACATATCTCAGCAAAGACGCCGGTCATACTTGGGTAAAAGTTAGAGCAGGCGAAAGTTTGTATGAATTTGGGGATCAAGGCACGATTATCGTTATCGTCGACGATGAGGGACCCACAAAAGAAATCTTGTACAGTTGGAATTATGGCGAGAAGTGGACGACATACCAATTCTCAGACGAGCCGGTTCGGGTGACTCTTTTAACAACTAATCCTAAATCAACGAGTCTTAAGTTTATTTTGATGGGGACTTCACGTAAATCGGATAGTTTTGCGCCAGTGGTTTATACTATCGATTTCTCCGGAATGGAACCGAGAAGATGTACGTTCACACGAAATTGAATTTGTTTGTTGCTCATCACACTATTATTAATGCAAGTAATTGTTATAGGCAAACTTGACGATAATCTATCTGACAGTGATTTCGAGTTGTGGAGCCCATTGGGGAATACTGAAGAATGTCTATTAGGAAAAAAGGTAAAGTGAACATCGAGCTTGTTTACGTTAGTTTTATTAAGAGTTTAGTTTTTTTTTTGTTTTGTTTTCACAATATTGTTCGATAATTCAAACACGTTTGTTTTACTAGACAAAATATTATCGACGCAAATCTAACCGTCACTGCAAGATCGATCATCAGACAGAGCTAAACACGAAAGTAGAAAAATGTCCATGTCAAGATAAGGATTTCGAATGGTTAGTTATCAATCTTTATTTGATTAAATACTGTCAATCGAACACTATTGATATGGCTCTAACTATTGACAATTGAATAATTTACAGTGCGCATAACTACTGGCGAAATAGTGAAGGCAAATGCGAGTTATACGGATATGATTACGATCGTCCTGAAAACTGTGAGAAGGATTATCAGGGAAGTTCTGGTTATCGCAAGATATCGAAAACCGTATGCGAGGGCGGTAAAAATCTTGAAGGAAATGTTACAAAACCTTGCGGCGATCGTAAGTAATTAATCTTGATTGCTTGTTCTGATGCTCCAATAACTTGCTAATGCCACTATATTCCTTGCGATGGACAGATGCCGGTATAATTGTGAAGCAGGTGAGATTACAGACCCTTAGCTTTTTTTGACATTTCTAGTTGCTTTTAAGCACCAAGTACTAAAGTAACATCTTTATGATAGCAAATTTTCGATTCACGTATGGCAGAATATTTCTATTTTGAAGGAAACGATATCATTATCATGCGTACCACAGATGGCAAAGTTTTCCTAACAGAAAACCAAGGCTACACCTGGGATGAAAAAGTTGAACAAGTATCGATAAACAGAATAGCTCAACATCTGTATGACAAAAAGCGAGCTTATTTCATCTCACTGTCGAAATCACTCTATTACACAAAGGACATGGGAAGTACGATCGATGTGATTACGCTTCCAGCAGAGCCAAATACGCTGAATGTCCCTGTACTTGCATTCCATCCGACGCAACACGATTGGCTAATTTTCATTGGGCAAGAAAAATGCGACAATATACTCTCACCAGAGTGTCATACTGTAGCATATTACTCACTAAATCATGGTGCGAATTGGAACCAGTTTGATACTTATGTTGGCACTTGTATATTTGCTCCCGAGGCATTCAAAGTACGAGATATGGTATTCTGCGAGTCGTATCGTGAGAAAACGGGATCGCAACGTAACTTTGGGAATACACTGCAGCTCGTATCATTCACTTCATTTGCAAACAAGAAAGTTATTACTCAGAATATAGTTGGAATTGCAACAGTGGAGGAGTATATGATCGTTGCTGAATTAGTTGAAGATGGTCAGAGTCTTCGACTGTTGGTTACTGTTGATGGAAAGCAGTTGGCTCCAGCAGATTTTCCACCTAATATGAAAATGACCCGTCATGTAAGTCCAAGTTGAGAACCCTTCATGCATACATTAACGAATTGTCGATTTACCTATTCATTTAATAATTTATCTATCCCAGGCTTTCACAATTCTCGAATCAAAGACACACTCTATCATGCTCCATGTGACAACAGAATCACGTCGTCAGAACGAATGGGGTAACATACTTAAATCCAATTCTAACGGCACCTATTACAGACTATCTCTCCCATACGTCAAGCGAGATGAACGCGGATATGTCGACTTTGACAGGATGCAGGGAATTCAAGGAATTGCTCTTGCGAATATTGTCAAAAATCCTGATGAAGTTAATCTAGGGGCAGAAAAACAGATCTCCAGTAAAATTACATACAATGATGGTAAGTTGTCTGATCGTGCTTTTCTCATTCTAATACACTATTTACTATTGTATTCTCTGTTTCGGTACAGGCGGAGATTGGCATGATATCAAAGGTCCCGAATTAGATTCTAATCGAAGGAAATATGATTGCGTACGTTTATCTTTAACTTTAAAAATTCGACTTTTGTGATGATTAGGTAAAGTTATATACTAACTTTACATTTTTCAGAAGGGTGAATGTAATCTTCATCTACACAGCTTTACAGAGTGGAGAGATCCGCGTGACACTTTCAGCGCTTCATCAGCAGTCGGTCTAATGATGGGTGTTGGCAACGTTGGCGGTTACCTAACTCGATATGAAGACGGTGACACGTTCTTAACGCGTGATGGAGGCGTTACATGGGAAGAAGTTAAAAAAGGCGCTCATCTACATGAAATTGGTGACCAAGGTGCTATTCTAGTCGTTGTAGACGATGAACAAGCTACAGATAAAGTATGGTATTCATTTGATGAGGGCGCATCGTGGCATTCGTTGATCATTACATCGAATGGTGAGCGTGTTAGAGTGAAAGACATTGCTACCGTCCCTGGCGGTACAAGCAGGAGATTCCTACTATGGGGTCATGTGATTGGAGAATTTAGTAAAGAGATAGCGGTGCATCTTGATTTTGCTGGATTGCTTGGACGGAAGTGTGAATTAGATATCAAGAATGCTGACAATGATGACTTTGAGCTTTGGACTTTGAAACGACCAAACGGCGAATCTTGTGTGTTTGGTAAAGAAGTGAAGTACAACAGAAGGATACGTAATCGTAAGTGCTATGTTGGAAGCGAAATCGTACAACCAAAGGAGGTAGTCAAGAATTGCACATGTACAGAATATGACTTCGAATGGCAAGTAGAAAGTGTGTTTATACTAGTAATTATTATCATTTTAAACATGTTTTACTGATTTACTTTATAATTATGTTTTAGTGAGTACAATTACGTTCGTAATCCTGAGACCAATAAGTGCGAGTTAGCACCAGGCACTCTCCCAATAGTCATTGATATGAAAGAACAATGCGCCAAGTCAGACTATTATTACGACAAAGTAACAGGGTGAGTTTAATAATATCTGGTCGACATTATTTATGACGGGTAGCATAGTTTTTTAACGAATGGTATTTTTCATAGTTATCGCAAGATTCCCATTTCGCAATGTGAAGGTGGTCTAGATAAACAAGGTGCACGCAGACGATGCCCAGGAAAAGGTTACTCTGCAGGCACATGGTTCCTGATTATCCTTTCGCCATTTATTGCTGCTGGCGCATTCTTAGCGTTCGTACTCTATAAACGACGTGGAAGATATTCTTCGTATGGGTAAGTGATGGATCAAGTCTGGTCATTCTATTCGATCAATATTGCTTAGAAGCGTTCGAAATATATCTAACATATGCTCTCAAATGCAATTTCATGAAACAGCCAAATAAGACTAGGAGACACGCCCGGTTCCAGCTTGCTTGAATATATATATATAGTTCCTATCACGATTCTCGATTTTATATTGTCAATCCGTATACCTGATTTCATCTCTCGTCGTATGCCCGACATCTCGCTATTTGGTTTTGGTGGGGAACGGCCGCGTACCAGACATCAATATACACCAGTAGCGCAGGACGAGGACCCACATGAAGTATTAATGGATGATTACGAGAATGATTCAGTACATGAATAATAGTAGTAATATTTGTTACGTTTCAGAAAATTATATGATGATATAGAATTTCTGTAAGTTTATTTTCCTCGAGTCAATTGTAATAAACTTGATTGTTTCGGACGAACAAGCATAAAATACTAGATTTTCTGGGTAAAAATATATTGGCGGTTGTAGGAGGTACAAGCGAGTCTCGATATAACGACACTATATCTTCTATACCGACAGAAATCGTAGAACAAAAATCTATAATGAAATTTACGACAATTTTTGGGAAATGCATATCATATTGGACAAATATCGACATTTAATACAACAAGTTGATCCGAGATATTAAAGTATTTTTGCTGGAATTACAATCGTGTTTAATTGAAGCTTGCTGACGTTCGTAAAAATCCACAACGAAAATTGTTCTGGTATTTTCCAAGTTTTGAACCGTTTGTTGGGTTATAGTGTACTATATCGATGTTTAAGTTCTGACAATTATATCTTCACAGAAGAAATTAATCCAAATAACTATTGCTATCCGAACTCACCCGCGAAATTAAAATTATTTATATACGAAGTGGTACTACTGCAGACTATACAAAGATCACAATAAAGGTTTGCTAGATGAGCTGACTAAACTATAGCATAGCAATGTTCTATTCATTTTTAGAACACCAATTTTTGTATTTCACAGAGAAGAGAGAAGGCAAAGTGATGTTACTATGCAGGAATTGAATGCAATAAACGTATCGACGCTGATCAAATAACCATACAAAAGCTACAGTTAACTGCAGCGAATCATAAACAATCTCCATCTAAACTGTTCAAGCTCGAAGTCGTTGACTAGATTTCTCTTCCGAAATTTCTGATAGTGGTATTTCATGGGTGCGTTTTCTGCTGGATAGCAAAAATAGATTACCGTATCCTTCCGAATTTAAGCACCACTTCTTCTCCCCCACTCCTTTTCTTTATCAAACCATTCTTTGGCAGTCATTTTCTGCGGATTGGTTTTTCGCAGGTAAAATTTTTAAAGTTGAGGCAGTAATGCCGTAACGCCATTTTGTTAAATGAGAAAGCTGAGTGTTCAAGTTTTATTAAATAGTTTTTTAAAATCTTCCACAGATTTTCGACGTTTTTCGCTCACCGAATGGTTTAGTGGATTTAGATTTTGCTTTAACTTTTCCTGGTCCGACTGCTTGAATCATTGCTTCAAGCTTTGGTTTATACTGTCGAGCTGAATTGTAGGTCTTATAATGCAGCGAGAGACTGAGAATAAAGCCTGCAAAAAATTCAACAGAAGCATTTTTGTAAATTTGTTTTTTTTTTTTCATGGAACAAATGCATTTGATAGTGATTATTAATGGTTTTTGTGAATTTTATATTGTCTGTAATATACGATAAAATTTGTATTCGACTAGTAAGACATTTAATTTTTGTTTGGTAAATTCGACCGCTAATACTCGAGCAATGGTAGATTTCCCCCAGGAAAGGCGTAGGGAAGGTCAAGACCCCAACAATTAACGTGCACGTGTCAGGCAAAAAAACCGACATTATTATCGAATTATCGACTGGTTCTGCTGGAGCGGTAATTACCGATTAACACGACATTGATACCTCCGCTCACATGTGACGCACATAACACTCAAAAAGCGGACTTGTGACATTTTCGAAATGGCACGCCCATTAATCTTAAATTCCCCCGAATAAGTCACCAATTTTGAATATTTATGAATCTTAAATTAAAAAAAGATGTTGTTTCTTCTCACCCAGAAAAAGTAAAAAGGAGCGTATTACCAGCAAAATTCTGATTTAAGAATAAACTTACCACAATAATAATCGAAAGTGCAAGAAGAACAATTATCAAGGAGTTAAGTAAACTCCTCAATAACTTTTTTATGTCTTAATTCACAAAGTCTAACAGTATTTATTTGCTTAAATATTAATCTTGCAGTTCTAATTTTTCTTTCTCTGATTTTAGGTTTTTGATAAAATTTTTTATAACCAATCTTCCAGTTTATCAAACGCCGATCAGAATATGTGTTTGTAGACTTGAACTAGTTGGTTTGTCTATCAAAACAATCGTTTTGAAGTATGCAAATTGAAAGCAAACCGTACTTCAAACAAAAATCGAGTTTCGCATCAGTTTGTTCAAACGTTAATAATATTACTTGTAATCATTACTTGTGTTACCTAACCCAAGATATTACTCGGCCAAAAAATAAGTACTATTAGTTTGTTGGTTTTTTTCGTTGCCATTGCTAATCAACTTTGTTTTATTTTTACTTTTTTTGCGTTAAAAGGTAGAAAGCGAAAATATGAAGGGTATTAAAGAAGACCAATTTGTGGCGTTGAACCCTCTGTTTCACTTTGTTGCCATATTAATAACGTCTATTTGGATCCTGTTCTATAAACCATTAAAAATAATACAATAATAAAATTGACTACAATACCGTTAAGACACATATATGTTGTTTTTATAAGCTACAATGCGTAACAAAAAACCCCGGAATTATATTTTAGTCTATTGTGTGATAAAAAAAGAAAAAGCCAAATAGAGAACAAATTTAGTTAAGGACAGTTAATAGATTATCTTGTTGAAAAAAAAAAACGAGTATGGTCGATATTTAAATTTATTAGTAGCGGCGCTCAGGAAGGTAATATAGTGTGAATTATCCATTTTGCAAATACCTTTTCAGATTATTGTGGAATTTGACTTGTTAACTTGTGAGATTGGGAGAATCTTCATCTTCATATAATGATTGCTACGCTTCGATCGATTATTATACTGCTGATAATAAGCTGAGTCGTGAATAGTTTATTCGCGTTTCCTACAAAAAATAAATTTAAGCTGTCTGACATTACATCATGCAGGTACCAAATTGTATATTGTAATTGTTTACTAGCCATTTACGGAAATTTAATGTATGGAACTTACATCACCTGTTAAATGGTCACACTCTAACAGACAATGCAAAAAGCTCGTTCAGCGAACATGTTCAATGTCATACCAAGAAATGGCCTGATTCACTACAATGGTAGAAATAACAATAAGCGTCATACGACTGTTAACAGACAATGCGAAGCTTAATGTTGTGGCCTGATTCACTTACAACGATAGAAATATTAATAAGCATCATACGATTGTTAATAGACAATGCGAACACTGTTTACTGTCATACCAAGGAATGGCCTGATTCACTTACAGCGATAGAACATCAGAACTGATATCAGCTATTAAATTAATTCCAATGAAATATTACTATTAGCAGATCGAATGGTCACTTTCAGCGAACAAACTCTAACACTGATTCATGATTACCAAATAAATGATCCGATTCATTTACCAAGATAGAATCAATCTCTAATATTAAGATAACTAATGACAACATTCACCAGTAACTGAAATAATACGAATGATTTTGATTACAAGCTCAAAATAGTATAATTTAGGCAAAAGTGAGTTCGAAAGACGTCCGGAATTTGTGCTGGTTATAATGATGAAGTTCAAACCATATTAATATTCAGAATATGCTATACGACCATAAAAGTGTCTGAATTGACTATATGTCATCGTCAAGTTAGACAATAAAGTTCTAAATTTTAAAAATAATAATGTCATTGTCAAACTACCCATTTTTCTTATTATTATGTCAATCAGCGGATAAACGCCATGAGTTATGTAATAAGACTACTGTAACAATAGCAGCAGTAACCCTTGTGTTTTCCTACCAAGCATAAACTATGTTACTTTCTTATTAATATTAACTAGTGTAGTATTGAAGTCCGGTCAACTGCGTTAACCGGGCAGTCACTACAATAGAGTACAGTTGATATGTTAAGCAATGTGCAGTAATTAGTTTTATTTTAATATGCGGGTTAAAATGGGGAAGTTATTGAAAGTTGTTGAGCAACACGTTGTAGTCTTTCATATTATTTTACTACATTTGAATCAGTTATGAAAGCACTTCGGTCTAATGTACTGATGTTGAGGTTTTTCCCAGGTCGGACACCTGCTAATTGCCAACGTAAGCTTGACCTGGAGAAAATATGTGATGATCTAATGATACAGTTATTTTTTGTATTGTAAGACCCTGAGTTTTATGTATTGTTAGAGCGAATGAATTTTGTAGAGTAAACTGAGTTCGAGAAGCTTTTTGCCCTGCAGCATAAAGTAGGAGGTGAGTTGTTGTATCCAACAGTGGACTATTGCATTCTGTACACAAAATGCCACTTGGTCAGAGTGTGAATCTTTATCAAAGTCAGTGATAACGCCAATAGTTCCATTGCAAATACCTTTTTCTATAAGAGAATTATTTAAGAACATTACGCGAGATTCTTGTTGAATGCGTATGGTCAGCGGCAAGTTGGTTTTTAATTTGAATAATGACTGTGTAGTTTCAGAATTTTGTTTGATGCCATTCAAGAAGTCTAGAGCATCGGATATCATAAATTTGTCGTTTTCCAGAGGCAGAGCGTTGTTTATGATATGGTTTATCTTTCTGCAGTTTGTTTATACGGAACTATATTTGTGGTTGTTACATGCGATTCCAACGTAAAACAGGGGTTATACGAAGTTGCCTTTTGGAGAAGTTTGTTCCATGTATCGGTATCATCCGAAATATTGCCTAATCTGATCTCTTGTAATAATTTGTAGAAATTCTCATCTGATTGTTGACGTTGCGGTTGTGTCAGAAAGAGTGGGTAAAATAAATGCCATACGGGAGAGTGAAGACAGGTTCGCCACGTACTGGACGATAATAATATTAATACCACCGAATGCTAGGTCGTTGTTGTGAATGGACGCGAAGAGGTTGGATATGAATGTGAAGAGTGATGCGGATACCATCGGTAATTAATGTATTGATTTTAGCAAGCTGTTGTTTAAATGCATTATCATAAAATGCCAATGTTTGATAACCAGCTTCGGATTGGTGAATTCGTAGGGCGGAGTGGATTGTCATGCCACTTATGTTTTGTGCAGCGACACCCGTAGGAGCTAGTAAGAGGTATTTAGAATTTTTTGTGGTTAACCA